GTGTCACATACCTTACTTTGCATAAATGGACAAAATGACACACTCCCTCACCCTACCCTTCACATGGCCGAATTTCCCACCCAAAGACAGCCCATTTTCACCACCATGAACCCTTTTAGCCTTGATCAATGAGGACAACCTATGGGATCCATCAAATAGACATTATGCACTTGAATTGTAGGAAAGAGTGGTGAAGTTTCCTTGCTGTTTTTCCCTATATATTTCGGCCCTATGGCCTTGTAAAATTCATTCATTGTATTTCATTTCCTTACTCTTTGAAGTAATATTTGAGTTGGTGTGAAGCGCTAATTCTCTCAATTTCCTAATGAAATATCTCTGAAGTTGGCTATTTTTGAGTGTGTGTTAGGAGTCTATTTCATATAATAATAGTGAATATTATTGTGTGAAAAGAAACTGCCCCAAATAAAATAAGAGTGTGTTTATCTCTTATTCATTATTTGGTTTATCCTTCTACCATAAAAACCACAAAAGAACTCCCTTTTCTCTCCCAATTTCGTCCATCTCCTTTCTCCCATTTAAACACTTCATTTCTTCATCACAAACCACTCCATAATATTGCTATTCTCCTGCCCTTTATTCTGCCCTATCACCTCTTCCTAACAACCATATTTTCTTCACCATTTCATACACAAATCCAACCTATTCTTCACCATATATTCCTCTCTATAATCAGCCCTTTTTTTTTATCCAGAGCTTTTCCTAAGCTTGGGTACATCAGAGCCACACCCACACCCTTCAACCCCCCTTTGTTTCCCCCATATCCTGCCCAGGAAATGCATCCAAATAGCCTATCATCCAACCTTTTCTCGTGCCCAAAAAAAGCCCCACCAAAGCCAATCAGTTGTGAATTATATTCACATATTCCCTCCTACCATTAATGGCCAAGAATCCTACCCTACAAGTACAATCACCCTGTGTTTTTCCCCTGCCAAAGGAACATCAACAAGTGGCCATTAATTCCTTTAGTTTGTGTGAATAAGAAACTTGGTAGTCTCTTTTTTCTATGCCTATATAAACTCATCCCTGACCATTCTAAACACACATTGTATATGTTGTACCCAAGACCCGGGGTCTTATCAAGTAATGAATTTGATGGTGGATTTACGAAGGAAATGGAAGCAAGAAGGAAACAACTTTGAACTCCAAAGTTCAGAAGCTTGTGATAGTCGATTATCACTCTCTGATAATCGATTAAAAAGATATGACTTCGAAACCACGAATGTTCAGAGATGTCCGATAGTCAATTATCACTTGAGTGATAATCGATTGTTTGAAATGGCTGGGTGGAAAATGGAGGTGATGAAGGAGTTCTTTTTTGGTATTTAGATTTATGAAGATAGAATAGAATGGGGTTTAACAAGAGAAAATGGAGAGGAATGAAATGGGCAGAAATAAAGTGAAGGGATAAACCAAGTTGGTGTTAAGAGATATGACACACCCTTATCTTAACTTGGAGCTTTTATCTTCTTTTACACATTAATAATCACTACTAATGTATAAAATTAGACTCCTAACACGCACCCTAAAGTAGCCAACTTTAGAGATATTTCATTAGGAAATTTGGATAAAATAGCATCACACTATTTTAAAGGAATTACTCAAAAGAGTAAACAAGGTTTTTAATTCAATAATCTGGTTCTGTTACAATGGCCTCATGGCTGAAGTATTTATACAAAAACAAATAAGGAAAAATACAATAAAGGAAACTTCCTACTTCTTTCCTAAAAATCAAAGATTAATGTCCTTCCATGTGAGCTGATTTTCCAAGATGTTTCTGTTAGACAAATGTGCAACTCTAAAGGGGGGGTGAATAGAGTTGTTCTCAAGAATGTGCGTTTTTTGCGTGTGTGAAAAAATCAAATCGCAGGAATAAGTAAAGAGAGTAAGGGAAAGAAGAACACCGGGATTTATACTGGTTCACCACCTCGTGGCTAGTCCAGTCCTCCAAGAGACTCTCTCGAAAGTCCTACTAATCTTCAAGCTTCAACGGGTGCTTGAAAAACAGGTACAACTTGAGAACTTGAATCACACAAGCCTCACTTTCTTACAATAACAAGACTTGAGTCACACAAGTCTTAAGAACAACTCAAATGAGATTGAGTTTACAACACAAGAATGAAAGCTCACACAATTGAGCAAAGTAGTGTTGAAGAATTAAAGCTCTATGGATGACAATTTCTTTAGCACTCAAAGAAAATATTTCTACCTCTCAAAAAAATAATATTTTGATGAGGAAGATGAAGCAAGGGATGACAATGGCTCAACGAATATTTGGAGTGCAAGAGTGAAGTATGGAGAAGAAGGAGAATAAGGGATTAAATAGGCTGAGTGAAAATAAATCCGTTGGAGCAGGCTGAGAATATGCACCAGATAAAATTAATCGATTAAAGTAAAAGGTTAAATCGATTAAGGTACACAGAGGCGAAATAGCCTAAAAAGAAAAGCAGAACATAATCGATTAAATGAAGTCCAATAATCGATTAGTCGGTTCTGTCTGAACTAATCGATTATTCAATGAGAAATAATCGATTATTAATCAAAGTTGAGCAGCCCACCGAAGAGCTTATAAATCGATTAAAGTGAAGCAACAAATCGATTAGGCGGCTCTGTCCAAGCTAATCGATTTTCATAAAAGAGATAATCGATTAAATATTATGACCTGAGAAAGTGCGCTGGACCTAATCGATTATCTTAGAGGATATAATCGATTAAAAAGAAAATAATGCGCAAACACAAAGGGCCCAAGCCAAGTGCGATTGAAAGCAGTTTGGCTTCTAACTCGTTGTTTGGAACAACGAGAATATCAACGGACGCTCCTCTGATAATATCTCCCTATTCAATGAATTTGAGTAGGGGAGAGAAAAAGAGTCCAAAAAATTATTTTGTGTGTCAAACGATGTACACGAAAAATATTTAAAGTATATTTTTCTTACCACAAAAATTTGTATATCCTTAAAATGTTTTTAAGAACTTTTGACACACTATTTTGAAACTGACTTGGTAAAATATTTTTAGACCGAGAAAAAATAATTTTTCAACTGACTCAAAAAAAAAAATAATTTTTATCCCTCAAGATTAATTTGTTTATGCAAAAATTATTGTCATCCTTACAAGAATTCGTAGACTCAATAAAAATAAAAAGTCTTCAGAGTCTTCACTTCACTTCAAAAATCTGCGTAGGGGTCAGCGTTGAATTTTATCGTTGAAACTTCTTGATGCACCTCTTTGCTTTTCTCGATACGAAAAATAAATTTTCGATCAACCTGTTTGTCATTCATCAAAACAAATAAATATTCCAGAAAAAAAATAATAAAAGGGTTTGAACTCATGTCCAACAGATTCTCCTGATTTTGGGCTGATCTTCCTTGGGTTTATTTAGGGAGATTTTCGTGCATATAAGGAAGAAAACAAAGGGGAATCAAGCTTTAGACTTTTGTGAATAAAATGCCAAAACAGCACTATTCATTCAATGACTTTGTTTCTGATTTTTGTTCCTTTGTTTCAAAAGTGATTATGCTTTTGCTTTGTGAAACCAAAGACTTTATTCTTTGTTGAAAATCAGGGAATGATTTCAGCCTTGTACCCTAGCTTAGGAAAGGCAAACATGAATTGAACAACTTTGGGACTTCAAGGTTCAGACATGTAGAATAATCGATTAGCACCTTTAGATAATCGATTAATAGGATTTGGTTCTAAACCGGGAATATTCAGAGACGCTTAATAGTCGATTAAAACTGAAGCACAATCGATTAACAAGGCTAGCACAAAACCAGGTATTTTTTGAGAATACAGATAATCGACTATAAGTTTGGAGATAATCGATTGTTGGAGGTTGTTGGGTTGTGATGATGAATCAGAGGGATAGAATAGTCGATTATCAGTTTTGTATAATCGATTATCCAGGCTTTCAGGATTGGAAAAGAAATAGGGAAAGGAATTATTTGAGTAAAAAGGATTTGAAGAGAAACAAAGGTTTTTAAAAGATAATAAGAAACTAAGGTTTGACTTGTCTTCCTTTGATTTCATTTTTGACTAAAAATTGATGGGAAAGACTTTATTTTGAATTAAAGAAAAGAAAGAAGAATTTTGGATATGTTGGGAGAGTTGGGATTTTGGTGGAGCCATCCAGGGGTACATCACCATGCTATTGGGCCTCTTTTTAGATCACACTTCAGATTTCAAGGACTTCAATAATATGATTGCTTTCCATGTTAACAGTCAAGTGTCGAGACAGGACGTCCAGTTCACCAGATTCCGTGTCGTGATGTAATGAACAGTGTGGAGTGGAACCCAAAGTTGAACTTGCTCGCCGGGGCTGATAAAAACAAGTATCAAGCAGATGAAGGTATGCCACCACAGTAGATAAATCTACTACTAGTTTGGATGCATGCTCTCTCTCTCTCTCTCAACACGTTTCACTCATTTTTAGGCGTTTTCCGCATCTTTGGCTTTGAGAGTCCATAGCTCTCTCGCAACCGGCAAATGTGTCTTTCCAGTTCCATCATAATTCGTAATCTGAGCTACACAAGTATGGTGTTATTTATGACTTTGCAGAGGGGTATGTGTTTAAGTTCAACTTTCTAATGTAAATTGTGCAGATAATTTGGACACAACACAAACGTGCAAGTAATAAGTTTAGAATTCAAACACTCGTGCAGTCATGATGCAATTTTGAATGGTTGAACACAAGTAGTGTGCCACAATGTGCTAGAAAAATTATGATTTGCTTTCTCTCATATGCTACTGCTACTAGCGGGGACTCCAAAAAATTCGTCACAATAGATGGCTTTTCTTGTTTAGGAAATAATTAGCTAACCTGAAGAATTTCCATGGAAGGAAATACGTTTCTTGTTGCTTCTAATAATAGAAAACCCATATGATGAATTTTCTCAGTAGATTAGATGAAAGATAGTTACTCCATTTGTCCAATATAATTCTTTCTCATTTCGATATTTTTGGTTAATGTTTTTAAATTTTTACTACAAATTATGGAAAATATATTACATTGTGACATAAACATGATATCAATTGATTTATTTTAAACAAAGTTTAAAAATATTCTCCCTCTGTCCTCCTAAGGTGAAAGTTTACTATAATACCCTTAATGAAAATGGGTGGAGTGTATTAAATGAGGTGGGTGAGGTGTAATAAATAAAGTAAGTGAGGGTAGTTGTGGCATTTTAATTGTTAAAAAATGAAATGAGAAGATATATTGTGGACAGAGAAAAAGGGCTATTAGAAAGATCTATGGGAGACGGAGAGAGTATATTTTTAAAATCACAATGGTTCTTTTGACCATGAAATTCAAGATCATATTGTGACCCGCGCGGCCTCTGCGTGCTCTATTGGTAAATTTGATTTTGGACCTGAACCGGACCGGAATGGACCGGTCCGGACCGGTCTGGAAGATTCAGGTCCGGTCCTCGGGTTTTACAAATTAGGGATTCCGGGTTTCCGGTCCGGTCCGGGTTTGACCCGGAATTTTCCGGTCCGGACTGGAATATAATATATAAATTGTATCTATTATTAATTTCAAGCCCAAAAGCATTAGATCCAGTCCATATAGTTTTAGATTCATGAATTTCATTTTTCCAATATTTAGTTTTTAAATATTTTATTTTAGATTATTATTTTTACAGTAGTTTATAAATTTGAATAAGTTATAGAATAAGTTTTGATGAATTTTTTGCTACTACTTATAAATACTATTTTTATTAAATACTTTGAACAAAAGCAACTTATTATTTCAATTTTTTTCTAAATTTATTTAATAATTTAATTCATTTATAAGATTGCAAAAAAATATAAAAAAATAATCCGGTCTAAAGTAGGGTAAAACCGGACCGGACCGGAAAAAACAGGTCCAGACCGGAAATAAACAGGTCCGGTCTTCGGTCCTAAAGAAATTGAAATTCCGGTTCCGGTCCTAACCGGTTCCGGTCCGGTTTTGGACCGGTGCACACCCCTAGTTATTACCTCTCTAAAAGTAAGTGAAGTAAATTTTTTTAATGTTAGTATTAATCCTTATTTGGAAATAAATGAATGATACGAGATTTTAAGTTTTTAACGTTTTAGTTTCAAAGCTGTTCACGGGTAAAAGTCTTCAATTTCTTAAACAAAATAGTGTAGAAGCCTCGGGTACATGACACTAGTGACCAATATCATAGGGGGAGGGGGGGGGGGGTTCTTGTGAACTATTGTGTATACAATGGTTAAAAGACTACTCATTTAAAATAAAAATAGGACTCGTTTTTATCTCATATAAAAACGATGTCTACTCAGAAAAAGTTTAGAGTTAAGCAATAGAGAGACCCAATGTGACCGACAATTGTATCACGATCATACAAAATTGTGGATATAGGAATACAAATGATAGGGGCAATAGAAAGAGGGGGCCTTTGAAGGCGAGCCTCTCTAGTTTTTTATGGTTTTTTTAAAATTTTTTTGAAAAAAGAAGAAATTTTATATCAAATAAATTTAAAATAAATGAAATAAAATATTTTGAAAGTAGATAAATAAAATAAAATAAAATATTTTAAGACCAGAAATATACTTCCTCCGTCCTAATTCTTTCTTCCCAGTTTGACTTTTCCCCATTTTTAATTTTTGGCTTTGACTTCAAATTTTACCCTTCTTAAAAAAGATTTTTTGAATATTTTTTTTGCAATCATTCAAAATATAGAGTTAGAAGATAATTCGTGTAAATACATGAGAGTATTAATGTCATTTGTCATCTTTTTTTTCTAATGAGGAGGTAGTTTTAGGACGGAGAAAAAAGGGAAAGTGGGAAGAAAGTTTTAGGACGAAGGGAGTATAATTATGAATGAATTACCTAATACATCATATATGTTATTTTGAAGGAATACCATATTTAATATAACTATAATATTACAAATACTTTATCTTTATATTCTATTTATATAATTTCATTTCTTTTGGAATTGATTTTTCTGCTGGGGCATAACTGTTTTTTCACTAGGGGTACACTTTAAATTTACTATAATTTTTTATATTTTTAGACTATTAAAAAAATGGACCAGGGGCACCCGCGCCGATAGTATAATGATATATATGCCCCTAATCATAAATAAACATAAATATTACTAAAGAAATGATTTAGGCTACCTAAAAGAACTCTACATGGCAGAAATCACACCAACATGTTCTAGGGCCTTGTGGACGTGAGTGTCAAATGGCTTCAAGTAAAAATGTATGTAAGATAATCTAAGAATTGTTGTTCCAAAGTTGACAAATATTCCATCCACTTGATTGTGAACTCCTTCACCGGTTTGACTGTGACCTTCGTTTTATAGGGGAAAGTTCATGACTCCTAGTTCTGAGTTTGTCTGAATTGGTCTTGGCCTAAAATAGGCGTTGAACATTTGATAAGAGTGGACTTTAATAATGATATAAATGATTGAAGTTTTAATGATGTGACTTATATACTCTGATATAAATATCGTATTGGATAGTAAAAAATTTCAAGCGTCTCCAAGCTTAGAAAATGGAGGCAAAGAGAAAAGAAAACTTCGAGTGCTTTTTGACTCCCAAAAAAGAGAGGAAGAAGATTAGGGCTTGATATTATTCTTCATTGATTGATTATTTTGAATGGAGTTACATACTGATCAATTTATGGGAGATAGAGACAACCCTCATCCTAGTAAAACTATAAAACTTCATCATGTCTCATCAACAAATACATTGAGGTAAAGAATCGAAAAGAAACCTTTGAAACAACTTATAATTTCGTTCATCTAATAAAAATTATACTACAAGAAATAATAAATTTTAACTACTAAATGAATATTAACCAACAAATAGTTAAATAATCTAATTCACCATTCCTAACATTCTCACTCCTTAGAAAACCATCTTGTCCTCAAGATGGATATTGATCTAGTTAGGTGACAATCTGGTGTGGCCACAGTGTTGCACCGTTCAAGTTGCTTCAGTTGTTTTTTTGTGCGAAGAGATTCTTTTTAAAATCGCGTAAGGATAACATATCAGAGGCAGGATTTAACAGTCTCTTTTAAATCGGTTATTCCTAATAACCGATGCAAAAGGGTATTTACATCGATTATTAGGAATAACCGATTTAAAAGGGTGTCCTTATTTAAACCAGTTATTCCTTATAACCGATGCAAATACCCTTTTGCATAGGTTATTAGGAATAACCAATTTAAATGCTAAGCGTTTGGCGAATGTTTTTAGCTGTTAAATTGTTTATTCTGCTAACCGATGCAAATAGGGCAATTTATTTGTTTGCTTTTGTAGTAGTGTCGTACGATTTATGCAAACAAGATACAGTTCAGCAGAACACAATTTTCAAGTGATATGGTAGAGTATGTTATTAATGGTAGAGTAAGATATTAAATTATATATCAATCAGCTCGATGGGATTATATCCCCTCGCCCTGTAAGATGTTGGGCTTGATCCATGGGAGAAGCCCACTAGGGAAATTCTAACCAAAGGCTCCTCTTCTAATATAAAATAAGGCTGCAACGTGAAGAAGTGGGAGCCTCCTCCGATAATCAACATACACATCGCTCTCATATTATCTTCCGATATAGCTTTGAACTCCATTAATGACTATCACACCCACATGTTGTATAAATACTCCCCCGACCATTAATAAAACACCCCTTTTGACATGGCACCACATAAAAAAATAATGATTTTCTCGTGATTTGGGTTTTCACGTAAAAATCATGTGTTCTTCATATGAATATGATGATCTTGCAAATATGCAACCTGTTTTACATTATGACAAGTCAAACAAAGCTAATACTTTGAAGATTTTTTGATTAAACAAACCATTTGAACACAACACAAATGGCAAATCTTCAAAGAAAGTGTAGTTTTAATATTTTAAAAAAATCAGACTTTGAACTATTTGCTAATGGTTCACTCAAAGTGCTGGTTCAGCAACTCATTTTTCAAAGAACTCTACATTTAAGATATTCAATAGCAAAAAATTGCTCCTGGGTACCCCATATTTTGAAAAACTAACTGCCGGGTACCTCATATTTTTAAAATATACTTCGATGTACCCTCTATTTTTAGAAACTAACTATCGGGTACCTCGCATTTTTAAAATATACTCCGGAGTACCTCCAAATATACATTAACTTACCCGTGAAGGACATCCCGTCTCACTCTTCGTCAAAGCCTGTTACGCCATTAATTTTAAGAATTAGAAGCTTTCGAATGAAACAGAATTTCCTTATGGGTAAGTTAATGGGTGCGAGGTACCCGATAGTCAATTTCTAAAAATATAGGGCACCTCGGAGTATATTTTAAAAATATGAGGTACCTGACAATTAGTTTCTCAAAATATGGTGTACCCAGGAGCAATTTTCTCTATTCAGTAGTGTTGTAGTTTAATTTTTTAAAAAACAATTTTATTAAAAAAATGTAGAAGAGTGTAGGAACCATGTAGAAATCCATAAGAAGGGAAAAGAAATAGCAAGAGAAATAGAACCGAAGTCCCTTTGAACTAAAAGAGGAAAAAAGGAAAATAAAAAAATCCAACATTATAACCAAGCTCCAAATCTCATGTTCCAACGACTACAGCACGACAGCGCCGATTATCTCAATGCAAAATAATGAGTAAAGGAAAAACAACAATATAATAACCAAACAAACCAAAAAACATCCTTACCAATATTCAAATTTATTAAACTCGAGTTTAGTTCCAACAAAGGACAACCTGGTCAAAATTTGAGTATAGATTTTGATACCAAGGTGTAGCAAACCACAGTTGTATATACATCCTCCAACTTCATCACAAATAATTTAGCCAAACATAAGACTCTTCGAAGCAAACAGAAACAGAATCAAACTACAAATAGAAGTTGCACAACCAAACAGAACTAAACTTTTATAGAACCATTACCAAGCTTTCTTTTTTCACGTGTTCAATATGTAATTATATATAGTAAACCAAAAAAGTTGACTCCATGAAGACATGCAAATGATATTTGACAGCTAAACCCCAACACTAATAAAGATTTGTATTCGTAGATTGTAAAACCATATGATTGGGTTTGAAAAAGAGTAAATGAGAAAATGAGTACTTTTCCAACCAAATGTCATTGATATTGAACTGCCAAGAGAAATTATACCTACTTTTACGACACAAACATTTCAGCCTTGAGTTGTGTTTAGAGTAATAATGTTTTTCAACAAAACTAACTTCAATTTCTTCATAAATACATGTAATATATGAGAGTAAATTCATTTAAAAGCTAGAATTCACTTTTGAAAATGAAAAAACACACGTAATTACCATTGATCAAGGGTATCTTCCTCTTTTTCTTTGATTAGCACTTTGGTAAATGTAATTAACAAAGAATCTCATGAAGACCAAATTTTTTTAATGCAATTGATTTTGAATTATAATTCTTTTATTATGAACTTGAGGCTTTAGAGTTGTGTAGAATTTTCTTGGAATATAAATTTGCAGTTGGGAAGGTGTTTCATCTTTCAGTCACTATAGCATAGATGCTTCTACGAAATCAATTATTCAATCAATAAGCGAATTAAATTCACCAACCTTAATTCTTTGCATAGCAAACATGCTCCGAACCCCTCAATGGAACAACCCAGCTGTGCAAAAAAATGGGAGTGAAAATAATGAATATGTTGTTGAAGGCATGTGCATTATTTTTCAATAGAACATTTAGGTTTAGCATTGCAAGAAATAATTTAACAAAAGAAAGAAAGAAAAGGATCCATGAAAAATACCTGGAATTTTTTCCATTAAAGTTTAATATCTTGGTAATAAGTGGTGTGTTAAATAGATGAAAACAAATCAACGCACATCTTCCTTTTATCGTGTCAAACACCTTTGAGATGTGAAAATAGATTCTCGTAATCTCAGAGTATCAATATGAAATTGAAATGAAAAAAATGCAAAAAGAAAGAAAGAAAAGGATCCATGAAATATGTCTGCAATTTTTTCCTTTTTTGTAGTAGTATCCATCAATTCGCAACAACTTGTCCCCCGATTGAGCCCTTCATTCATGTATTGCAGCAGTAGGTTACCCGTCTTTGAAAACTAAAGCATTACGGTTTAAGATCAAAGGAAAAGAATAACTAAAACGCACCTGAGGTATTTGGTGTTTTAGCATACCAAAGTAGATATGTGCTTATTAGGGGGATTTATCCCTTTAGTTGAGCTCTTGGAAATGGCCTAACATAATACTTTTGAAAAAACTATCAAAATAAAAATGCATAATGGTTATATATTCTTATATTTATAAGCCTAAAAGTGTTTGCTAAAAGGTGAAAACACAATTCATAAGTAGTTGCAGTGTATTCTAATTTCTTTTATATATATATACTCCCTCCATCCCGTCAGATATGGACACTCTGGCTTTGTTGTTGCTGAAGAAATTCTCTTTCCTTCGTCATGTCCGTCGTCAGGTTCAAGAACATCTCGTTGAGGGTGAAGACAATGGGTTGTCCTAGCTCCAACACCATGCTTATTGATATCAAAGCCATTGGCATAAAGCATTATTGAGGGAGGCTAAGAAAAGTATATTTGATCCACTCCACTAACTTAAAAAGCAAGGGCAAAATAGTAAAATTACACTCTTTTACACTTTTTTGGTACAATAGCCAAAATGAAAGTGGACAAAGATTAGGACTGAGGGAGTATAATTGAACACAATATGAATAAAGAGTAGAACACGAAAAAAAGGAATATTTAACACAATTGAAATGAAAAGTTAATCAGACAACTTAGGTAAAAGAAAGTGACACGAAACTAATATTATAGTTGCAAAAATTTTAAAAAACACAATTTTGAAATTCAACTTTTTTCTATTAAAAAAGATGAATTCAAATTTTTACCATGTTTGTTAAAAGATATAGGTAGGATCTTTTGATATGTGAGTTAACCATAAATATGTGACTGTTGCTCCTTAGAACACGAATGGAAAATGCTGCATAAAAATTCCCAAGTGTGCACCACTTGGTAATTCTCTTTTCTCAAGTATGCTAAAAGTTTTTCTCTTAAATAATACTTTTGTCTTAATGCACCCTACTTAAGCCAACTTAAGCCTGTTATGGTAAGGTTCATCTGCACCAAATAGTATAAAATCCAAACTCCAGAAGCCAAACACATGTTTGTTAATATAACATAAGCAAACCTTGTGTGGGATATGGCCCCAAAATTATACTCCCTCCATCCCCCATAGATCTTCCCAATAGCCCTTTTTCTTTGTCCACAAAAGATCTTCTCATTTCATTTTTTAACAATTAAAATACCACAACTACCCCCACTTACTTTATTTATTACACCTCACCCACCTCATTTAATACACTCCACCCTTTTTTCATTAAGGGTATTATGGTAAACTTTCACCTTTTTTCAACTCTCCTTAAAAACCACCAAAAGTCAAAATGAGAACATCTTAGGGGGACGGAGTGAGTAGTAAAGAGTTCATAGACATTTTTATAGCTACAGGGACATTTTGTAATGTATAGAGTATAAAGGAGCATTAAGTAGATTAAAACTACTCTAGCAGCATAAGAGATGTTTTTACTTCTAAACAATTGGGCACTCAAAGAGCATTATATCATGTATAATGAATATTTTCAAAGTTGCACTTTTAAGATAAAAATGAAGTCATGCAAAGAAAATATTTAGTACTTTAAACTTTAAAATAAAATCGAACACAATTTAGGTTGCAATTAAAGAGGTGGTAGGGGAAAAATTCTACAACGTTTATTATTATTATTATTTTATTATTATTATTATTCTAAGAACAAAAGTGATAGATTTGACAGTGAAAATTTTGAGATTATCACACATGATGTTTTTGTGTAGCCACTTATAGGGTCAACACATTGAACTTAACTACGGGCCAAATGGATAAGGGTAATACCAAAAATAATGGCAATTACCAAAACTAAATATCTATGAATTCGGATGTGATGATTTTTTTAAAAAAAGTACGCAACCACAATATCATAGCCAAAGGTCCACCAGAGGTTCATCAATCAACTGTGGAAGTATGGTGGATAAATCATTTTCACATGTCTTCAAAAAGAAATGAAAAGATAAATCAGATTTCATTTTTCTAAAAATGAAATCGGTATGTAAGCCAATTCGTACAACAGGAAGAAATGAAGAAATCATGACTCCAAGTCAAAGAAACTGTAGTTTAAAAGCCACATCTAAGTATCTTATTCAAAAGTTATCACGCCCCCCTCACCTCAAAGAAAATTTGTGGGTGACAAACTTAGTTAAAACTCGACATATCATTTTGACATGTTTGCTGGAGCTCATGTAATTTGTAAATTCAAATATAGCAATTTTTAAAGAATGACAACTAATCAAACTTGAATATACTCAATATTTTCCAAAGTATAGCCTAATATTCAAAAAAATCATTAATGTCCTCCCCCCATGCTGGCCGCCACCAAAATCTCCCTAATATCAAATTAGTGTTCAAAAGAGACCTTAAGGTTGTGTGCGGTTGGAGGGTAAGAAGATGGAAGGTGAGAATTTGAAGGTCTTTAAGAACTCTCTAATCCTCACCCTCCATCCCCTTTCCCTCTTTTCTCCCTCCAACACATTGAACTTTAAAGTTTAGAAAAACTCGTTGTGTTGCTTCTAAGAAGAAACTAATTGCAGAGATGAATATTTAACTCAATTAACAAACCTGAGAAAGCCAGTTCTGCATTAGAACAATAGAAGACACAACACTTGCAGCTCCAACCCCACTAGCAATAGCAACTCCAACATGTGAGGATGCTAAGGAAACACACACCCAATTAGCAAATATAACGTGTTGAGCCTTTTGAATGCCACACACAAACTTGATCTTTTCATTAGGCTTCACTTCATAGAATACCTGCAAAACACCACCATTTCACATTTGACTACTTGGGAAAACAATACTTCCTGTACAAGGTCTCTCTTTTGGCTAGTCTAATGTAACCTACTATCTTTCCCCTCTTCCCTCTCTGTAGTCTTCACATTAACCTCAAAAAAATCCAATTGCAAACCATAAAATCAGAATAAATGTACAAAAAATATATACACATGAACAGACCATTTGTATTTTATTAATGACATTTCTTGATTTTGAATCCTCACCCTCTATACCACCAAAACACCACCATTCCACATTTGGCTACTTGGGAAAACAATACTTCCTCTTGAGGGTCTTTATTCTTCTGGCTAGGCAAATCATTAACATTTTTCTTCCTTTTCTTTACTGTAACCTACTATCTTTCCCCTCTTCCCTCTCCCTAGTTTGCACATTACCCTTAAAAAATCCAATTGCAAACCATAAAATTAGAATATATGTATTAAAAAAAATTCTATTCATGAATAGACCGTTTGTATTTTATTAAGGATGACGTTTCTTGATTTTGAATCTTTGAAACCATCCTCAACCTCTATACCACCTCTTTCTTCACTCTCATCTGCACCATAGACACAAAACCATAAAATATTCAACGTAAACAAATCATTCACATTGTACGTTCCAAATAAACAGAAAAAAACAAACAAACAAACCTTTTTGGGTCTTAGGTTCAACATTATTAAATTCAAAATTTTCGTATAATATTTTGATCTAATTTGTTAGTTAAAAGTCTAAATATAATTTACTTGGCCAATATAATTAATATTCATGAAGTAATAGACATAATCATTGTCAAACCAATTTCTGTTTTCTTTCATTTCATTTTATCTTTTAAATACTGTAATCAGCAAACAGCCATGTTTATACTCCCTCCGTTCCATAAAACCCTTTTTCTTTCATTTTTTTTGAATTTCCTAAAACATTTTCACAATCTATTAAAAAAGCACTTTTAACCTTACTTTTTCATACCCTACCTATTACATCTTACTTCTACCTATCACAGCAGGAGAAAAATTGGAAAGTCAACAAAAATTACACTTTCCTTATTTTTGCACAAAGTCAAAAGTGGAAAGGTTTAAAGGAACGGAGGGAGTATTATATTTTTCATTAATTTAGTCAAAAGTCACACTTAAATTTTAATGCGCATGTGTGGCATCACACGTTTTGTATGGAACTCATATGACGTTTTCCTTTTCAAAACAACTCTTAAAATTTTATTTCATAAAAAAAATAAAATAACATAAATAAGGTAGTTTGTTTAAAAAATCTATGATTAAATTAAAATGAAAATACATATTTAAAAAAATCAAGGTGCATATGTATATAAACTGATCAAATAAATGGTGTATAGTGTCAAAAATTTATTAGTAATTTTATTTTTAAAAATAAAAAAATGTTTAATTTATAACATTTTTAAATAATGATTGAATGCTTTGTATTAAAAACATGTGTAACAATGATGAAAATATAATAAAAAATAAGTATAATTTTAGTTAGAAATCAGTAAGATTTTTCAAAAAAATGAAATTGCATAAAATCTTTGTTAGTCACAAATATAAATTTTAGTTTTTACTCAATTGCATAAAATTTTTTTAATGTCAAAATTCTTCCATAATACTTCTATGAATCAGATATAACCTTCTAATTTGATACTATTGATCTAATTTTGTAATCATTATCCTCAATATATGAAAAAAAATTTATTTCTCAATAATCACATCCAGTATAGTAGGTGGCCTCATTTTCAAGGATTTTGATATTAGCTGTAACCCATACCCCTTTGCCCTAAACGTAAGGTTAAACGTGGCACTTGTATGTTATTTGACATATAATTGTAAAGATTTTATTACGGTAATTTAATTTGAATGTGTGATGTGTACCGGGGAAATTGATTTTGAAATGTCGCCAATTTTGACCTTCGAATGCCCAGGCGGATAAGCAAGTGCTATTAAGGCATTTTTATATGCCTTTGTTTCAATGTAATTCTTTATAAGCTCCAAGCTTTCATCCCTCCTAGTAGTGCATTTTATACAACATAAATTGACAGGCGTGTGATCTCTTTTAATAGCTATTAAAACGAGAATATAGTATTACCATTTTCTCAACCGGTCGCAAGTGGGATCTGAAGGATTACCTTCAAATACGGAATCATATCTTGTGGAGAGTGACACACCTGTTACATGTGCATGTTTCCTTAGTAATTTACTACGATCTGCTTTGTGTGGTTATGAAGCTATGCTTTGGATAAATAAACATTACCATTGAAGGGAGTAACGGTCACCCTTTTACCCAAAATTATTGGGTGTCGCCCACTCTCTAAAAGGTGTGTTATATCCCGGCCTTGATTCATTGTGAAATCTTCCCAAAGAGTCAACACAACTGGTTTCATTCTTTTTAAGATGAAAGTAAAAATGTTAGATATACACAATGTTAAGTAATTAGAATAACTATGTCATACTTACTCTTTGTTCACAAGCATGAAATCATGTGCAGTTTTGGCATGTCCGGGAACGGAGACATACTCTCTGGGCATTCTCTAAATCACAATGGCCATGAAATCTAAATGTAGCAAACATAAAAAAAAGTTTAGATGTCGCATCATTCTGATTTTCCATATTAGGTTAATGAAGATTAATATTATTCACATAATGATTGGGGTTTTAGACCCGCATAATTATTTTATAAGCTTTATAAACTTACCTCCACATCCAACAATATAAAAGGTCTGTACTTGTTAGGGCTCGTCTTGATGTTCCGTTTCACCACAACTCTAACCTTACATGTCCATTCCTTTTTGATGTCATTTATTCCACTGATCATTTGTGTCTCCATAACTAAAATCATTTATAAAAAAAAGTTTTATAAAATTTGAATAACCTTTTAGATTATTATCATATGATACGATTTCATATTTTTTAAAGGAAAAAACTATAAAATATTCAATAATATTACTTGAAAAAGAAAAAGGTTCTTACTTGTAAATGGATTTTACACTTACAAATAGGTTTCGACAAATGTTAAAATTAAGACATAATTGAATAGCATGTTACAACGTACCATTGAATACGAACATTGGCAGTGGTAGGTTGTGGGTTGGGTTTCGATTTTTTTTGTTTGGGACTGGTGTTTGGGGTTGGTTTTAGGATAGACTCTAGGTTGGGTTTTGATTTTTGGGTTTAGAGTTTAGTCATGTTTTTGGGTAAGGGTTTTGTGTGTGGTGATTGGAGACAGAAACAACACATAATAAACATCTGAAAACTATGCTGCAGAAGAGTAAGCAAAAAACATCATACCTAAACCTCTATGGTTTCAATGAATGGATTGGATTAAAATTACCTCAAGAATGATGTTCCAAGGTCTTGCAGGTTGACGCGTACCTATATATGTAAAATGATCATTTAGTTGCAATAATAGAAACAAAGAACAAAGACAAGAACAAGGCAAATAACTCATATAATCAAACCTAGGAGGAAACCTGGAGATGGTGCCTTATCTCATATCCCAAAAATTGAAAAAATAAATAGTGTTGGTTAGAGGTTTACTCTTTGGTATGCTTTTACTTCTACTTTACAGGATTTAAGTCTTGAGTCTCGGTTTGGTTACTCGGGGTTAGGTTCTAAGTTTGGGTTAGAGTTTTTGTTTTTTTGGGAGTGGGTTTTGGGTTTAGATCTGCATTAGGATTTTAGATTTTGTAACCGATAAACGGAGTTCAAACACTGTCTGTTTGTAATGGAACAAACACACCCTTATGGGTCTAGTTATTTAATCTTAAGTTCTAGGTTTGGGTTAGAGTTTCGGTTTCTGCGTTAGGGTTTGGGTTGGGATTTTGTTTCTTGGTTTGGATTTCGGGCCTTATTTTGGGCAGTTTAAGGTTGAACTTTACACCAACTATAGGGACTGAGCAAACCTTTATGGATGTTTGTGCAAAGTTTTTGTAGCCCAGGGAAGAATTCTGGCCAGATTTTGAGTCTAAAAATCTGTAGCACATCGGACAGAACTCTAAGCAGTTTTTGGGATTGATTTGGCAACAGAATCAAGAAATGGAAGTTATGCAACGAGCATATTGGAGGGACGTACCCCCTGAATGTGAAGATGATGAATTGAAGCCTAAAGTTGGCATGTTATTTAATTGGTCCGAATATGGATGAGACTTTTATAAAAGGTATGCACACTCTGTCAGTTTTAGTATTAGCAATTTCATAAAAAAACTAATGATAAAACAACGATTCCGTGGTAATACATTCACTGCGAAATCTGGGAAAAGAATTGTGTACACCCAACCATTGTAACCCATTTGCATAATGGATTTCAAGAGTCCATCACTCACTCCTTAATTTATAGCCTTGAAATTTAAAAAATCAAATCGCACAGCTCTCATATTTGAATAAACAATATTGTCCGATTCTTTAGATGCTTTAGAGTTTAAAATTTACAACTTGGAATTTTATACATTCTAAAGAGCAGTTTGAAATTGTTACTCTGTATATTTTTTTTCACATCTCTAAACATGCTGGTTGAATATTTTTAAATGTGATATGGTCATTATATCCAAGTCTAATGAACAAAACAATTCAAATCCATAAGAAACATAGAATACTTTAAATCTCCCAACTTTGAAAAATTGATGTTAAATTGTAAGTTATCTTGTTTTAGGTTCAGGAAATGTGGGAAAAGAATTGTGTATACCCAACCATTCTAACCCATTTGCATAATGGATTTCAAGAGTCCAACACTCACTCCTAACCTTTACCAGAGTCCAACACTCACTCCTTACTTTATAGCCTTGAAATTTAAAAAATCACATGGCACACCTCTCATTTTTCAGTTTCAAACAGGATTGCAAAGATGTAAAAAACAGGTCATAATTTAAAAATTGCTAAAAATGAGAAGAACATGCCAAAGAACTCATAAGATTATACCTAGGAGGAATCTTGGAGATGGTGTCTCATTTACTCTCATCCCATCTCACAAAATTGAATATAAATAGCCCAACGTACATGCTGAAATAATTGGCAGGGGATTATTAAGAAAATGATCCATAAATACAAGACGAGGAATCAGAGAAGACGTTTCAATCATACCGGGAAATCTGCACATCTGATACACAACGCTTAGAATCTGGAAATCTGAGGTTGATAGTATTTAGAACCACAACAACTTGATAGTATTTAGAACCACAACAAGAAACAAGACAGTAAAACGCAAATGCCTTAACTCAAAACACGACCTAGAGTCTGACCTAAAAATTAAAATCCAACGGATTGTACCCGCAGACCTAACGCAAATTTGATTGTCAAACACTAAAGTTAAAAGTCAACCTAGAACCTAACCCAAAACCAAACCCAAAATCAGGTCCAATCCCCAAAGTAAGAAACAAAATCCCTACCCAGAACCTAACCCAACAACCAATTGCAGGGGTGCATTAAGCTATTCCCATGTTTAAAATATGTGAATAAGTACAAAAAGAATGAATATGACATTAACAGGCTTTAAGAATGAAGACCAACCATTGTCTGTGGCATTTGACATGGTAAATATAGCCGGTTTAGTGGAATTTGAATGTCACATGGCCTTAAGCACCTATTTGTAATAGTGTGGTTTTGATTAGAGTGCAGCAGTTCATATTAAGCCAAATTTTTTTGGGAGATATCCGACAAAAAAAGGAAAACCAATACCGGTACATGGTGAAATTTCCATTTTGTTGATCGGTGGAGGCGTTGAAATTTCCATTTTGTTGAAAGTACCGCCAAGCTCCAGCCAATAAAGAAGACTCGGCATGAACCCTGTCATCAAATAGGACATGAAAGAGGTTAATAAATAGGAAAATCTCTTACCAAGGTGAATAATGTCAAATTGACTCTCCAGCCAAGTATATATGTACAGTAATATTTTTTGTTATTGTGTTGTGTTTAAAATTTAACGTCGTGGAACTCATCTACTAAAAACAAAGTTTCTACTACGTTTCTTGACCTTTTGGCTAAGATCATCAAAAGGTCTAAGGGATCCTAGTGAGACTGTTCCACAATTAAATGTTTTAGTCTACAAAAACATTTTATATATATATATGGGATTGACTCCGGTGAGATGACATCTTGTGGTAAGATGACATGTTTCAGTGAGATTGAGATGACGCTGGAGCTCACCACTGATCACTGCAACGCTCACTACTGATCACTGCAAAACTCACCACTGTCCACTGCAAAGCTCACCATGATTTCCCAACACTTTACTTTTTTTTCAAACTTGATGGTTAAATGCTTACAAAGCCCAACAACAAAGCTCACTCACTCTCATTGCAAAGCTCACCGAATATGTGCACAAAGCTCACCACACTTTAAAATTTAAAATGATTTCATAAAAAAACAAAAGGTGGTGGTGCTGACTTCCAACCGCTGCAGACTACCACCGTGGACCGGTGGTTGAGTGGTGGTGCAATTTTATTATTTTTTAAAAAAAATTGGTGAGCTTTGCATTGTTCCTTGGTGAGCTTTCCATTGACAGTTAGTAAGCTTTGCATTGACAGTTGGTGAGCTTTACACTTTGACCGCGCATGACCAATGGCCACCACCGAAGACTCCCACTGTTGCCGTGGACCGGTGGTTGAGCGGTGGTTGACTGGTGGTTGAGTGGTGGTGCTATTTTTTTAACTTTTTTTATTTAAAAAAAAGTGGTGAGCTTTGCATTGACAGTTGGTGAGCTTTGCATTGGCAGTTGGTGAGCTTTGCAGTTAGCAGTGGTGAGCTTTGCGTCATCTGACCGTAGGATGTCATCTCACCGTAAGGTGTCATCTCACTGGAGTCAATCCCTATATATATATATATATATATATATATATATACACACAAACACATATATATATAGGGGCCGGTTCCCGTGAGAACGCACCTTGTGGAGAGAAATGAGAATAAAATCTAGCCGTCGGATCTGATGCATCGTGCGGCTCAGATTGCATCCTGCACCCAGATTTTGAGATAGTGCATTTTCGAAGGTTTATGGTGCATTTCGACGTGATGCATTTTCGCACCATTTTGGTGCATCTAATATTGATGAAATCTTGACCCTTAGATCTCACAATCTAAAGCACCAGATTCATTCTCATTTCTCTCCTAAGATTGCATTCTCACCAGAACCAAATTCTATATATATATATATATATATATATATATATATATATAATGTTTTTGTTCTTGGGTGATTGATTTGTTTTGTTCAAAGTTTCACATGGCAGATGTGAGCGATGAAGGTAGTGGTTATATAAGAGCATTGAGAAGCTCGAGCCTAAATATTCGTCTTAGATTGTATTTCAATTGTTTGGAGCTTCAAATTATATAGATCTAAGAGGTAAAATTATTTCATAATTTAAAATAAAATAATATAATAGATATAGTACTTTTTTTTGATATTTTAATTTTACTTAAAGAAAAATGCAACTGTTAATATTAACTTAAAATTTGTTTAAAATCAAAGTCATAACCCGTTGGGTAGACCCAAACCGAATGACAATGGTGATGAACATATAGTTCTCTACCTGAACCCGCATTGACTCGAACATGAAGTAGTCCAAACCCGAAGCAACCTGAAATTTTTAAAAATGAAGTCATAAGTTGTTGGGCCAACCCAGAGTCCCAGATCCAATTATAAGAGGAGGCTGTGGTGTTAATATTCCTTACCTTACGTCTTATTCAAGTGAATATGATGATCTTGCAAATATGTAACCTGTTTTACATTATGACAAGTCAAACAAAGCTAATACTTTGAAGATTTTTCGACTAAACAAACCATTTGAACACAACACCAATGGCAAATCTTCAAAGAAAAAGTGTAGTTTTAATATCTTAAAAAAATCAGACTTTGAACTGTTTGCTAATGGTTCACTCAAAGTGCTGGTTCAGCAATGAAAAGTGCATAACTACTCCCTAATTTCATCATCCTCTCCCTCTACTGCACTGCCTCTTGCCAAATCCCGCCACAACAGAAGAAGTGTGGTAATTTCACTTTGCCACAAACCCTACTAAATTACATAATGTGTTTGAGAGTTTATAGGGATACTTCCAAGTAGGGGAGTTTTGGATACATATCACCCTCTCCAAACCCTACTTTTGTGGGGTTTTACTGGGATTGTCGTTCTTTTTTATGGCAAAGGCATTCAAGTTTGGGTGCAATGAGATATTGAAAGTACTTACGTGCAGCGGATTATCATAAGTTGAGGTTTCAATGCCTTTGGTCCATTTCGTATCCCCCCTCTTGTGACGAGTAACCTGCAATTCATTGGCAAGAGCTTTGGAGTAACTCTTGTGACGAGTAACCTGCTTTAGCAATTTGAAAAGGTTATGTAATGGAACTCTCAGCGTGTTCAAAATTAATTGTCATGTTAAGGAAGTTGTTAGAGGATGAAGCTTCTTTTTAGGGACGGCCATTAGTTCCATAGACTCATTGAAGAAAGTGACATCTTGGAATCTGTAAGCAATGTTCCCTTCAATCCTTTCCTGATTTGCCTTTATTGGCGCTATGGGATTGCCGAAGATGATGCTGTCCATTGGAATTGGTTGTGCAATGGCGTGAGCAAAGTTATGGAAGCAGGATGTGGGTCCTACATTTTTTCCGTTGTCCCAGCAGCTCCTTAGCGTGGCTACCCTGAAAGCCATATCCCTACAGCTTGCACTTCAAGTCCACACTCTGTGCAAATAGGATGAATATCATTTCTTTAGTTAATTTGAGACTCAACAGGTGTGAAAGTGAAACATATATCGAAACACTCCCTTTGAACCATATTAAACTTTGCATTTTTTTCACGGAGTTTAATAGAAGTTGAAAAAAACGTGAAAATGTACGCATAGAAGAGAAAATTAATGTCGAGTCCATGCTTTCCTTAACTAGAATGGGAACTTTATTTTAGGACAAACCAAAAAAGAAAGTATGTTTTTTTGGGAGTATAAGCTAAACATAAACATCACTACAAAACAAAGATTCAAACTTTAGCCTCCTGGTTTTGAAGACCAGTCTTTAGAGAGTATGTAAATATCCGAAAAGGACAGGCACACAGCCAAGAATATGAAGCTTACTGCTGTTTTTTTAACAAAGAATTCAAAACCAGATTGATGATTTGAGGCCCCAAAAAACAAAAGATAGACCGAGTTTAATAACAAGAACACCATACCAGTAAAATCACACAAACGGGGTCGGGGGATGGGAGTATGCATACCTTACTGCATGAAATTTTCACACCTCTTTGATCAACCTTGCCTAGCTAATCTCAGCCTTAGAATGCGCAGACTACGAACAAACAACAGAGGGTTAGATTGACACACACAGCAAAGATATGAAATTTAGTGTATCCATCAATCATGCACGAGAGATATTGAATTTGGTGTATCCATCAATCATGCAAGAGAGATATCAAATTCAGTGTATCCATCAAAAATGGGGAAAAAAGTTTGAAATTTGGGAACAAGTAACAAACCTAATTTTTTTCGTAGCGTATCACTCAATCCAGTAAAACAAGAAAGTTCAACTCAATAATATGATGATCAAGTTCACGATTGGTTTAGTTTAAATCCATGAGGAGTGCAGTTATAGAAATTAAGAAACGATCTTAGTGACTCACAAGTAGTGTAACAATGTGCGAAGAAGATCAGAGACCATAACAGGTTTTTCACATCTATGGGAACCAGAGAGCCTAGTGATGCAAAACACCCAGTAATTGAGTATCCATTGAAATAGCAACCTGTTAATCAATAAAGGAAAGTTAAACCTCAAAGAGGTTGCATAACAAATATCTTTGTTCTATTGTTTATTTGTTTGGATTTTTTTTCTTTGGAATTATTAATGTTTTCAGTACCTGATTTATTGGGTAGTATGCGTCCAGTGGTCCTGTCCAGCAAGAGTACCTGCAATAGGGAAGCATTAATGGTGTTGTGGAGTATTTCGTGATTTTTTTGCGTTTCTTAAATTGTTTAAACTGGTGAATGTGCATTTTGTTACCGTTTAACTGTTTAAGTCAATGTGTTGTAGGATTTTGTTGTATACTATGTTGTCTGTTGTTGAAGTAAATCTGTCCTGCTGCTCTTCATCGCAGATGAGGATCCTCGCGTTTGAACCTTTTTCTGCTCTTGATAATGCGACATAAAGTTGGCCATGGCTGAAAACTGGTTCTTTAAAGTAGATGCCTACGTTGTGCATTGTTTGTCCTTGTGCTTTGTTTATGGTCATGGCAAAGCATAGTTTGACTCGGAATTGAAATCGCTTAAATGCAATTGGACAATCATCATCAGAAGATATCTCTAGCGGTATGTTAGGGATGAATACATGTTGCCCTGTTTTGTCACCAATGGCTATAGTGCAACTGATTACATGGTGGTGAATTTTGTTGCAAATGAGTCGTGTCCTGTTACATAGACCTTCTGATGGGTTTAAGTTTCTTAACAACATTATGGGGCATCCAGTTTTCAAGAGTAACATGTGTGGTGGAAGGCCGTTTGGGGTGATTGAGTGCAAATAGTCCTCGCAATGTAAGTGGTTGTTGTCTGTTGGTGTGTCTATACTATAAGAGCATGATGTTCTTCCAGGAAAGCTTCTATGAGGGTGGAGTTAATGTCATCCACAGTTTCATTCTTTGGGGTCAAAATGGCATTTGTCAAATTTTCATAGGGATTAGTGAAGAACTTCTTCAGGCCTGGGAATACCTCATTCATTAGTGTTAGTAATGCAGGTTTGTTATTTTGTGGGCTATTCAAGAAAGGAGCGGGCAAGCGTATTTTGTTCTTGTAGATTTTTGGGATAGTGTCATTTCCAACTCGAAGGAGAAATTCAGAGAATGCAGGATCAGCATTAGCCCGCATGTTTTGTGTTAATGTTATCCTTAGAACATTTGTCCAGATTTTTTGAGATATGATTGTTGATGCTGCTATAATGTCCTCTTTGTTCCTCTTTTGACAACGGGTAAGGTCTGTCTTAAATCCCCTCCAAATACAATTACTTTGCCGCCAAATAGATTGGTTGTTCCCATGATATCCTTTAAGAGTTCATCCATACATTCAATTGAATGTTCCAAAAGACCATTAAAAATAGTCTACTAAATCTTTTTATTAAGTAATTAAAAGTAATCGATTAAATCCTTAAACAGTGATGAACATCTGAAATACGGCACGAATCCAACGAAACTCGCAAACTCCAAAAATATTCATTTTAAAGAGGGAGTCATGAACAAGGGTTTACCTGGTAGAAATTGTAGCGTGCCACAAATTTCGTATTAAGAGGAGGCCACGAACTTCCTTTCAACACCAGTGCAAAAGATGATAACTGACAATCACCAGTTTGTTGCCAAGACTTGGATTTAGAAGTTTAGTTCATAGGAAGGGGATGCGATGTGATGTTTAATTGAGACGTGAGAGAACTAAATACACACAGAATTCAGAGAAGTAAATAGTCAGAACATTGCATATGTAAATTATGGTCTTTTGGTAGAAGTTTTATTGTATTATTCTAGTGTGTAATGTAGAATATGAATGAAGAATTCAAGGGTGTATGCTTTTATAGGCAGGTGGTAAGTTGTTTAAATGTAATAATAGGCAGCATTAAATATGTCCACAACATTTTAAAATGGGGAAATTCAAACCTCACATTAAAGTAGAGTAAATGTGGGTAGTATAGGTGTAATATTGCAATGATTGCAAGCATTTATTTGTAATTGAAATATGCAGTTTTTTGAATTTTTAAAATTTTGAATTTAAGTATGGGAAAAATTTACTCGCTCCGTCCCATATCTTTCTTCTCACTTTCCTTTTCGGGCCGTCCCATTTGATTATTCTCATTTCTTAAAATAGAAATAAAACACACTTAAACTTACCATTTTACCCTTTTTTTCTCTCTACCCTACCCCCTTCTTCATCTTCTTCTTTTCTTCTTCTCTCGTCAAACCCAAGCTCGAATGTACTCCCCCCACCCCTTTCTTCTTCTTCTCCAACTCCCTCTGCGTCAGACATCCCCCACCATGTCTTCTTCTTCTTCTCAAACCTTTGTTCTTTTCCTTTAGNTAGATTGTATTTCAATTGTTTGGAGCTTCAAATTATATAGATCTAAGAGGTAAAATTATTTCATAATTTAAAATAAAATAATATAATAGATATAGTACATTTTTCTAGATCTAGAATTTCTCTGCAATTGGGTCCAGTTGTCGTTTGGGAAAGTCACCTACCATCAATTCAATGTTTGAATTTGTTTGAATAGCAGATTGCCTCGATTCAGTGTTTCTTTTGAAGTACGATTCAGCTTTTAATTCATTTTGAATTGTCGAACAAAGCTTCAGGTGTGGGAAAGTGATTTTGGAAAGTAGTCGAACAAAGTTTTAGATCTAAGAAAGTAATGGCAAGATTTAAGGGAATAGTGAAGGGGCATTTTGGAGAAGTCAATACACTTTTTATATTACATTAAAACCCGTGCCAAGTCAAAACGAGAAGTTTCAACTTGGACGGAGGGAGTATTAATGTAAATGAATTTAAAATTCTTAATTTTTAATTTTAAATGTTTAATTTTAGACTCAACAATTATTGTGAAACTTCTTACTGATAATATCTTTTATATTTAGATTAAAAACTGAAATCAGAAGTCATAATGTTCTTCCTTAATTACCATACTGAGTGTTTTATATTATAGAAAATTCATATGAAAGTGCATTTTTTGTATAGTATGATGTTTTTTTATTGAAGTAGACTACTAAAACAATAATTTCTTGGCCTACTGCTTATTTAGTTGGTCATGCAGCGGGTGTTGGAAAAGGACAATTGCAAGGATGACATTGAACAATTGAAACCATGGAAAGAGTAAAGGTTTGTAAGTTAATTGGTTGGTGTCTTGCTTACGTCGAAATTCCTTTTACTATTTTAAAATCTTTAATTGGTTGGCAGTCATACACCAATAAAGAAATTCTGAAAGACTTTCATACATTTCTAACCTTATGTGTACAACAAACATGTATTACACAATGGCTCCACTTGATTCTTCTTTGTAGCAGTTGACTCATGTCATAATTTCCTTACTGCATACCTTTGCAATGGTTTGGATAGAGCAAGCATTAGCTGCAGTCAGAAGCAAACAAAAGTTAGAGGGAAATTTTCATATAACAAAAGGACCAGTTTTCTTAAACATAAATGATTTAGCATAACTGGAACGAAATGAACTTAGAACTTTATTTCAGCTCTTTTCTTCAAAGCCTCCAAGATGTAAAATAGGAAGGAAAAATAATACAACCTCTGGTGACGCATCAACAGTATCGTTTTACATTAGCAATTAGCTACGGGTTAGACTTGGGAACCTTATTTCCTCTTCAGGGCTTCATAAAACTTTTCAGATTCTTAGGGTTTCATCACCTGCAGTACATGAAGAGTGCAACCATCTAGGCTCTGCATCACAAACATGACTGAGTATATTAATCAGGTACTATGCACAGCTAAAGGAATCTCTTTTCATATTAATTTTGTGATAACGAGAAGATAAATACTTCAACCTGCACCATAAAAAGAACTCAAGATGTATGTCCTGTAAGCTCTGCCATTTTGACCATTGATGTGAAGCTATTGTGTCGTTGAGCAGGTGGACTTGGAAAAAGAAATAGCAGTAGATGATCTCTCTCATATATACAGAAGATTATAATTTCCCTGTAAAGTCTAGGAAAAAAAATAGTATTGATGTCAGCTTTCAGAGTGATATGTATGAAATCTTATATTCTTATAACTTCTTAAACTACTTCAAAGCCATTACATCAAATAATACAAATAGGCGATTATTAGATTCGTTACAGACCTGTAATGTGGTAGGACTGAGAAGTAGACACCTGTGAGACTTGTATCTGTGAAGATTGCAAGTTACAACAAATTCTATACCTTTCATACACACAAGTTGATTAATAAAAATGTATTCAATTCATTGAATATATATTACCCCTCATGAATACAAAACTGTAAAATCCCTTTTGATATGTAACATGACAGAGGATGCTAAAATATGTAACCCTTTTATTCCTTGATATAGTAAAGTTTCAGAGATTATAGTGAAAAAATAAAACTATGCACCTTTTTATGTCCTTTTTTGTTGAAGTATTCCATTTCTCCTTTCTCATGCATTTATAGTTGATCTCACTTATCTCTCGCCAAGTTATTTTTCGATGTTTTCAATTGTTATAGAAAAATTGAATGCTCCTACCAACAATATGTAAAAAAGGAAGATAAAGTTTAAATTCTTATGTAAAATTTGCAATGATAGGACTAAAACATAAGTCATTTCCCAATGTAGGACTTGAACTTTTTTATTCCCTATCTAAATAGGATTTAATAATGTCTATTGAGAAGAACAATATTCAAGTGATGCTGGATATTTAGTTGAATAATGACTAATAGATAATGACCAATGGTCCTATTTTAAGAAATAAAAACATATGATCCTATATTGAGAAAGTCATTATGTTTTAGTCCTATTTAGGTAAATTACCAAATTCTTATTAAGTCTTTTTTAATCACAATATTGATCCTCTTTAAACACGTATGTATTTAAACTTGAGAATGATGGTAATGGATGCAATGTCACATATTTTAATGCACACACATATTTTAATAATTTTATATTAGAAAATATTTTTTTTACATATTTTTACCATTTAGAATATGACAGTTTTAGGTAGCATTCTATTATCCATTACATTTATAATAAAGGCCAATTAAACATGCATTTTTCTTACCATAAGTAAGTTATATTCTATAATAAATGATAATTATATAACATCCTCAATTGGCTGAATTCTCAGAGCCTGTTTCTTCTTCTGGCAGAGTATGCACGATGTCTACATGGTCTGCATCATTCTCATCAAATGTCAGCCGTTTCCGGCTTGGTCCTTCACCACTTATTTCCCTTTCCTTTCCAGCATTCATAATGCCCTCCGGCAATACGATATCTTCACACAACCCATTCACTGTGCAACTCCTCCTCTTTGGTCCTTCAAATTTTTTGTTATCAACCCTCAGTTCACAAGCAAATGTGATACGGTTTATCTTTCTTTGAATTTGGCTAATGTTTATTCCTCCTGAGTGGTGAACAATGTTGGAAATGGATAACAACCTCTTGAAATCATAGTTGAACATTGTCACCTCTATTTCACGAGTCTCATCGCTCAATTGGACTTGGATTTTGTACCTACATGGTGTGTAGAAAGTTTAATTCAAAATAAGATATACTATGTACTTCATGTTTTGAAAAAATATAATGGTCTTAAACTAACTTTTTCTCACTCCTGGCTGACAAATTTCCACAGTCCAAACATGTGAAAGTAACTCCTTCTGGTGTTGTGGTTTTCCGATTGCAATAATCACATCCAGTACACTAGGCGGCCTCATTAGCAAGGATTTTGATATCAGCTGTAACCCATACCCCTTCCCTAAACATAAGGTTAAACGTGGCAGTTGTATGTTATTTGGCATATAATTGTAAAGATTTTATTACGGTAATTTAATTTGAATGTGTGATGTGTACCGGGGAAATTGATTTTGAGAAAGTTAAACATAGTTCCGAACAAAAAATGATTTATGATTTTAGATTTTTAACCCATAAATGGAATTCAAAGACTGTGTGTTCATACCCTTATGTAGAATCTGGGTTAGGTTTTGGCGTTTGTGTTTGGGACTGGTTTTTGGGCCAGGGTTTTGGGTAGACTCTAGGTTGGGTTATAGAGTTTGGGATTGTTTTTGAGTCTGGGACTTTGGGTTTACTATCCGGGTTTTGGGTCTGGTGCTTTGGGCTGGTTTTTGGAAGAATGATGTTCCAAGTTCTTGCGGATTTAGGCGTATCTGTACTTAAAAAATGTTTTTTCTTTACTTCTACTAATTGTGGCAAACAACACACCTATAAACGAACCAAATAACTAATATCATTCTACCTGGGAGGATACCTGCTATTACACCTAAACTAATATCTGGGTTGATGGGTCAGTGAAATTAATAAAAGATTGTTGAAGGGAGACATATATTGGCTGAGAGGATATTGATAGATAATGAAACTAATGGGTCGGAACAGTAGCCTTTAAATTATGCAAGTTTTTTCTTTGAGATGCGGTACCTTTGAATGGTAACTATTTAGTTTCATACATTTGGAAGTGTCAGTTCCTAAGCTTAAAGACATTTTAATTTAATTTATAGACGAATAACAAAATTCACCACACATACTTCGGGGTTCGTTTTAGATTTTTATGAAATTACTGAATTTCAAGCACTTTAAAAAGAGCACATAAATAAAAAGCACTTCCAGATTATCTAACACATAAATGGATTTCAAACACTTCCAAACAACACCAGGATTTCAACCATTTGCATAATGGATTTCAAGCACTATCAAAGACGCCCTTATTATGAGGCAACGATTTAACAAAGAAATGGAGTGCAAAGACTTCAGAAACAACACATAATAAACATCTGAAAACTAAGCTGCAGAATAGGAAGCAAAAAAACATCATACCTAAACCTCTATGGTTTCAATGAATGGATTAAATTTAAATTACCTCAAGAATGATGTTCCAAGGTCTTGCAGGTTGACGCGTACCTATATATGTAAAATGATCGTTTAGTTGCAATAATAGAAACAATGAACAAAGACAAGAACAAGGCAAATAACTCATATAATCAAACCTAGGAGGAAACCTGGAGATGGTGCCTCATCCCATATCCCAAAAATTGAAAAAACAAATAGTGTTGGTTCGAGGTTTACTCTTTGGTACGCTTTTACTTCTAGTTTACAAGTTTTAAGTCTTGAGTCTCGCTTTGGTTACTCGGGGTTAGGTTCTAGGTTTGGGTTAGAGTTTTTGTTTTTTTGGGAGTGGGTTTTGGGTTTAGATCCGCATTTTAGGCTTTGGTAGATAAGAGCTGGGTTTGGATCATGATTTTACTTTCTCCGTTAGTAAAAGTAGGTTGCTGGCTAGGAGGATATTGAGTGACAGTGCCTGCGGCTGAGTTTAATGGAAACATTGTTGGGAGGGGTGGAAGTACGGCGCAGGATAAGGGGCATGGACTTGGGGTGAAAAATTTTGGCTCCATCACACTCTTGAATACATGGAATTTAAATTACCTTTAAGAATAATTTTCCAAACTGTTGCAGGTTCAGCCTTACCTGTAGGTGAAAAATGACCCCTCTTTCAGTAATAGAAACAAACAACAAAGAGAAGAACACGCCAAAGAACCCATAAGATTATACCTAGGAGGAATCTTGGAGATGGTGTCTCATCCCATCTCCCAAAATCGAATATAAATAGCCCAACGTACATGCTGAAATAATTGGCAGGGGATTATTAAGAAAAGGATCCATAAATACAAGACGAGGAATCAGAGAAGACGTTTCAATCATACCAGGAAATCTGCACATCTGATACGCAACGCCTAGAATCTGGAAATCTGAGGTTGATAGTATTTAGAACCACAACAATTTGATAGTATTTAGAACCACAACAAAAAACAAGACAGTAAAACGCAATTGCCTTAACTCAAAACACGACCTAGAGTCTGACCTAAAAATTAAAATCCAACGGATTGTACCCGCAAACCTAACGCAAATTTGATTGTCAAACACTAAAGTTAAAAGTCAACCTAGAACCTAACCCAAAACCAAACCCAAAATCAGGTCCAATCCCCAAAGTAAGAAACAAAATCCCTACCCAGAACCTAACCCAACAACCAATTGCAGGGGTGCATTAAGCTATTCCCATGTTTAAAAATTGTGAATAAGTGCAAAAGGAATGAATATGACATTAACAGGCTTTAACAATGAAGACCAACCATTGTCTGTGGCATTTAACATGGTAAATATAGCCGGTTTAGTGGAATTTGAATGTCACACGGCCTTAAGCACCTATTTGTAATAGTGTGGTTTTGATTAGAGTGCAGCAGTTCATATTAAGCCAATTTTTTTTGGGAGATATCCGACAAAAAGAGGAAAACCAATACCGGTACATGGTGAAATTTCCATTTTGTTGATCGGTGGAGGCGTTGAAATTTCCATTTTGTTGAAAGCACCGCCAAGCTCCAGCCAATAAAGAAGACTCGGCATGAGCCCTGTCACTAAATAGGACATGAAAGAGGTTAATAAATAGGAAAATCTCTTACCAAGGTGAATATTGTCAAATTGACTATCCATCCAAGTATATATGTACAGTAATATTTTTTGTTATTGTGTTGTGTTTAAATTTTAACGTGGTGGAACTCATCTACTAAAAAATAAATTTTCTACTACGTTTCTTGAGTGACAGTGCCTGCGGCTGAGTTTAATGGACACATTGTTGGGAGGGGTGGAAGTACGGGGCTGGATAAGGGGCATGAACTTTCCATCTTCCCTGGTCTTGGCAGCAAAGACAAATGCTCTCAAGCATCCAGCACTCCAGATCCCGTCCAGTGAAACCAGCAGATTCTTTTGCAGCAACCATTACCACCCCCTGTTGCACCCAATTGTCTACTGGTATTGTTGTACCTTTCAACTGTTATATTTCAGATTATTATGGTGTTTTTCTTTTGTTTATTACTACCACCCTTCTTTAAAAATGTGGATTAAACTTGAGGATGTCTTGGTTTGTTTCTTTGTTTGTAGCCCGGACACACATACACCATTCCTTTGAACCAGCACCAAGCTGCTCCTCTGCCTGGTGGGGGTGCTGCAACGTCCACTGCAGCCATTGCCCAGTCGCATGTGCCTTCAAGTGTGACTAAATCTGCTGTGGGTGGTAATGGATCTGCCACGGCAGCAGGTGGGAATCATATACACCAAAAGAAATAAAAATTGATTTTGGAGAGTGGGTTTTGGGTTTAGATCTGCATTTTAGGCTTTGGTACATCAGAGCTGGGTTTGGATCATGATTTTACTTTCTCGGTTTCTCCATTTGTTAAAGTAGGTTGCTGGCTAGGAGGATATTGAGTGACAGTGAAACACGTGGATTGGAACAATTTACCTTTCTGTTTTGGCTTTGGCTTTTGAATTTAGGACTGGTTTTTGATTTGAGTTCAAACACTGTCTATTTGTAATGGAACAAACACACCATTATGGGTCTGGTTATTTACTCTTAAGTTCTAGGTTTGGGTTAGAGGTTCGGTTTCTGCGTTAGGGTTTGGGTTGCGATTTTGTTTCTTGGTTTGGATTTCGGGTCTTATTTTGGGCAGTTTAAGGTTGAACTTTACACGAACTATAGGGACTGAGCAAACCTTTATGGATGTTTGTGCAAAGTTCTTGTATCCCAGGGAAGAATTCTGGCCAGATTTTGAGTCCAAAAATCTGTAGCACATCGGACAGAATTCTAAGCAGTTTTTGGGATTGATTTGGCAACAGAATCAAGAAATGTAAGTTATGCAATGAGCACATTGGAGGGACGTACCCCCTGAATGTGAAGATGAATTGAAGCCTAAAGTTGGCATGTTATTTAATTGGTCTGAATATCGATGAGACTTTTATAAAAGGTATGCACACTCTGTCAGTTTTAGTATTAGCAATTTAATAAAAAACTAATGATAAAACAATGAGTCCGTGGTAATACATTCACTGCGAAATCTGGGAAAAGAATTGTGTACACCCAACCATCGTAACCCATTTGCATAATGGATTTCAAGAGTCCATCACTCACTCCTTAATTTATAGCCTTGAAATTTAAAAGATCAAATGGTACAGCTCTCATATTTGAATAAACCAGATTGTCCTATTCTTTAGATGCTTTAGAGTTTAAAATTTACAACTTGGAATTTTATACATTCTAAAGAGCAGTTTGAAATTGCTACTCTGTATTTTTTTCACATCTCTAAACATGCTGGTTGAATATTTTTAAATGTGATATGGTCATTATATCCAAGTCTAAAAAACAAAACAATTCAAATCCATTAGAAACATAGAATACTTTAAATCTCCCAACTTTGAAAAATTGATGTTAAATTGTAAGTTATCTTGTTTTAGGTTCAGGAAATGTGGGAAAAGAATTGTGTATACCCAACCATTCTAACCCATTTGCATAATGGATTTCAAGAGTCCACCACTCACTCCTAACCTTTACCAGAGTCCAACACTCACTCCTTACTTTATAGCCTTGAAATTTAAAAAATCACATGGCACACCTCTCATTTTTCAGTTTCAAACAGGATTGCAAAGACGTAAAAAACAGGTCATAATTTAAAAACTGCTAAAAATGTATTCTTTATAGTCACAAGCTTGCAAGTTATTATGCAGAATGTTCAAAGGAAGTAATGTGAGCAGAATACACATCTGAATTTGAGCACTCTTAAATACATGGAATTTAAATTAATAATTTTCCAAACTGTTGGAGGTTCAGCCCTACCTGTAGGTGAAAAATGACCCTTCTTTCAGTAATAGAAACAAACAACAAAGAGAAGAACACGCCAAAGAACTCATAAGATTATACCTAGGAGGAATCTTGGAGATGGTGTCTCATCCCATCTCCCAAAATCGAATATAAATAGCTCAATGTACATGCTGAAATAATTGGCAGGGGATTATTAAGAAAAGGATCCATAAATACAAGACGAGGAATCAGAGAAGATGTTTCAATCATACCGGGAAATCTGCACATCTGATACGCAATGCCTAGAATCTGGAAATCTGAGGTTGATAGTATTTAGGGGGCGTTTGGTTCATGCTGAGGCAACGCCTAGAATCTGGAAATCTGCACATCTGATACGCAACGCCTAGAATCTGGAAATCTGAGGTTGATAGTATTTAGAACCACAACAATTTGATAGTATTTAGAACCACAACAAAAAACAAGACAGTAAAACGCAATTGCCTTAACTCAAAACACGACCTAGATTCTGACCTAAAAATTAAAATCCAACGGATTGTACCCGCAAACCTAACGCAAATTTGATTGTCAAACACTAAAGTTAAAAGTCAACCTAGAACCTAACCCAAAACCAAACCCAAAATCAGGTCCAATCCCCAAAGTAAGAAACAAAATCCCTACCCAGAACCTAACCCAACAACCAATTGCAGGGGTGCATTAAGCTATTCCCATGTTTAAAAATTGTGAATAAGTACAAAAG